TATGTGTACAAGGATACTTACAATGAATTAATGTTTGTTTTCAGTATATCATATCTTGTCTTAATTTAATGGCGTAATGCATGGATGGTACAACTGTGTATTCCTTCATGTTTCCTTTGAATTCATTTTTTATTTTTATTTATTTATTATCTTTGTTTTAAAGGAGTCATTTGAAGCTAACTGGAGCAAATGGAGATGTGCTTTTTTAAAACATGCAGCTTGAATAATTCTGCTGGATCCAAGTCATCTTCGAAGCTCATTAATGCAAAATTTCGTAAAGGTATGTATAAACACACATAACTTTATTCAATAATAAGATTCATCTCTTTATGCAATAACTTTCCAGTCCTATGTCAGATATGAATGCTTTTAAATGTTGATGTGCATCATTAACTGAGTCACGAAGGGAAGCAAAGAGCAGGAGCCTTACTTCATATGATATTCCATTTATTTTACTTAATACTATGGTAAGATACTTCAGGACATGGAATTATATTCACTGTTATTTTATTATTTTAGCGTGGAACTCCGTTATCTGAGGTGACTGATTGAAACAATAATCATCCTTACATAGTTAGATTCTATGACCCAGATGAAGATGTGGTGCCACAGTACTTTATTGCTATAGAACAAAAATTGCACTGTGAATGTAGTGCATTGTCAACATCCATCTTTAATTTAGTACAATACATCTTTAATATTGAGTACACTGGAAGTTTGAAGTATATATTCCGATTTCTGGAGCAGTTTAGATTGGATATTAAGTTCTCTGACAACCCTAGACAAGTCTTTTCATATTATGTTCTTGTTTTGTTTAACTAATTCAGTAGATAGTACATGATGTATTATTATCTTGTTGTTATAACATTTCCATTCATTATTGCAACACTATGTCTTGTTATTAGAACAGAAGCCCATTGTTACTCCATCTGCATTGTTTTGACAATTAGCATTTTGTTAAAAGAACACGCTTGCAATCCTGATCTTTGTTGGACATCAATAGGTAAGCATGCACAAATAGTTGAAAAATGAAAATTGGCTAAATCTTTCAGCGTCTTAATGAGTGTTGGGGCTGCAGGTTTTGAGCTGAAAACTCCAAGATTTTACATCACAAGTCCAAAAACTGATGATATGCTTTATAAGCTAATGCTATACATAACCTGTGCACTAGCTCACACATCCTTTGAAGTAAGTATGAATACCATTAATATTGTTTATTTTAAAGTTCACCACTAAGTATGTATTTAAAGGAATTAATCATGTAAAGACGATCTTC